CGGCTCCCTAAGCAGAGAAGGGGCTCCCCAGGCAGGGAAGGGGCTCCCCATGCTGGTCGCTGGCGTGACCCGAGGGGCACGGTCAGTGTAGGCACAGGGCAGTGAACACCACAGTGGGGCAAAACCAGCAGCAGGCACTTGGCTTTTGCATTTCTAAACGTTTTTATGCAATGAGCAGGTACTCTAATAAGCCATATATTTAGCTCCTTTTTTTCCCCCTTCATAATAATATATCCTTACTTGGATATAAGTATAGCTAAGTACTGATAAATGCAAATTTGAGGACAGTGAATGCCCGTGTGTCACTGTCTTAGTGTGCCAGCACTGCCCTACACAGAGTGGAATATACGATGGTCCTTTGGTTCCTCAAAATGCGTCCTTGGCCTTCAGATTCACACCATGGAAAATACTTGTAAATCCAATTTTTAAAGTGAAGTATTTTTTAAGGTGAAGCAAATGTGGTGCAGATGAGAGCAGCTGCAAAGTCCAGTCTGTAAAGCAGTACAGCGTGGCTGCTGCTTATCAGCGAGTTCTCTGCTGATACAGCTCGGGCCTGCTTTGCACCTCTTGGGTCACGGTATCTCCAGACCTGTTGTTCACAGTGACATATTTTGCTGGTGGACCTCAGTCTGGGATCAGAGTTTTTGCTGATTATTCTTACGAGCTCATTCTTGTAGGTTTCATTTTATTACTGTTTAGGGAGGTTTGTTTTGCTGCTTATCAATGGCTAAGTTAAACAACCCTGGTGAAAAGCCTATGATTGCTGCCATTTATGGCGTTCTAACACGGTTTCAGGCTTTTCAAGGAAACTGAAACTGAAAATGGGGCAGGATTGTGAGTGTTGCTCAAGATAGAGAGGCTTTGCAATGGTGCATTGTAAATAATTACTGTTGTACATGGCTTGCTCATTTGGGTGTTTATCCTATGAGTCTGTTGGCTTGGTTTAATAGACTTAGGCAGGCAATTGTTGGAGGGGAACAATTGTTCCAGTGAACCACTGCCTCACCCAGCCGTGATTTCAAGGTTAAGGCAATGTCAGATCTGTCTGCTGAGAGAACCTGGTGATGAAACTCCAGTGTTGTCACTGGTATTGTCAGTTGTGCAGTGGCACCATTGGGAAGGAGATTATGGGCAGCTAAAAGACTGAGTGAGCTGTTCTCTCCTGTTTTGTTTTCTCTGTGAGGCTCAGGCCTGTGTCATTGATGTAGTTCAGTGAAAACCACACTGTGCTCTGTGTGAGGCTGGGATCACAGTTTGATCCTCCACAGTGAGGAGGGCCTATGGAAACCTGTGGTGCTTCCCTGCTGGCTGACGTGCCAAAATAGTTTTCTTTGGAAACCAGAGTGCAAACTGGTCTCATCCTGACATGCAGTAGGGACATAGGTGGGATTTCCCCTGCATCTCATGGTAGAGACGTTGCATTTATTTACCTTGAGGCCGATCTCCAGAAGCAATAGCTGCTAATCCCAAGTACAACTTTCCCCTTAGTAGGGACAGGATGCTCCAAATCTGGGCATGTTTTAAAAAAATGCAGACTTGTCAGGTGCCAGAAGAGAGCTGCTTTTCATGGTGGACTCCCAGAGACCAAAGAGGAAGCAGAGGTTCATATTTGGCCTTGCAACAAGACAGACTGCACCTGTGAGAGCTCTGAAGGGGAAGAGCTGCTACCAGACATGCTTGGGTTCTTTGAAGTAGAAATGGTTGAAGGCCCTGCTGTTCCCAGCCTTTCACTCCTGTTATGTCAGGTCATTAATAGTGGCTTTGCACCACTGGCTCTAAAGTTGTACAAAGGTCCAGGAGATGGAAAATGGAAAAAAGTTAGTGTTCACAGATGTCTTTTAGCATCACTGCATATGCTGAAGTGTAGCTGTGATCCTGCTCCTTTTGCTACCACACTTTTTGCAGGTTGGGAACAAGGAAGCAGAGAGATGGGTCCTCAGAGGATGGGATTTATGAGTATGGTTTCTTTGTTTTAGCACAACCATAGGGCAGTTCAGCTGCTTACTTCAGTTCTCTCTGATTTTTACTTCCTCTGCTTAGTTTGGGGAACAAGTAACAGTCAGAATGGGTTTTCTACAACCTTAAAATGATCTTATAGAGGAAGAAAAATTCATGTGGTGGTTTAGGGCTGCACAAATACTACAGATGGAAAAGATCATGCAAAAACAAAAATTTGTGTCAGACTAATATCAGTACAGAACTGCCAACACAAGTCAATGAAAGCTTTTCTCACCTCTAGACATTTAAACAGTTGGCTGTAATCTGTTGTCAGAGTGGAAATGTTTATGTTCTGAAGTTTGCCAGTGTACAGAATTCATGTTCTGGTACACCTCAATACAACAATGGGTCTGTCCTCACCACCTTCTGGCAGCTAGCATGCTCTGAGTGAAATCTTTCTTTCAAAACATAATGGAAATTCAAGAAAAAGAGTTTTAAACTATGCAGACAAAGTTTATGTTTTATTTTACAGGCTTTTGATATGAGAGGAAGCAAGTGGCATATTGATGTATTCTTAAGGCTCATATGAGGTAGCTAGAGGTGATGAACTGTTTTACTAAAAAATCCATTTCCTTTTGAGTTAAAAATCTAAAATTCACTGAGGACATAAAAAGTCCTTCTTGTTAGGAGTTCCTCTACAAAATTAACGTCATAAATTGCCTAATTTTTAGATGAAAGACCCTTTGATAACACCATTTTACGTGACCCATGTTCATGTTATTGTTGGCCGACATTTTGGATATGTTTAATATGTCATGCTTAACAAAAGTTTCTGAAAGACCTTTTCTGTCCTCAGCATGGAAAAGTTTTTTCACTTCCTTTTCTTCCATCAAGCTTATTTTCCCAGCACTTATCATCTCTCATTAGGTCTTATCTTTCTTCTGGATAGGATTGTTTTCCCAATTCATACACAGAAGCCCAGTTGACTTCTGAGTGCAATCTTTCCATGCCATGGTACCCAGAGGTTCAGAGATAACTCTGTTTGCTTGGGTAATGTTGGTGAATAGAACACAATGCAATTTTAAAACCTTTTTCTGGAAGGCAAAAAAAAAAAAAAAAGGCTTTGTATACCTCTGGAGAATGGAAGTAAATTACATTCTTCCATTATGTACGTGAATCTGATTTTGAGGATGGTGGAATTAATTTATCTGGTTATAAAGGACATGGCATCTTCTAAAATGCACATGATTATTTTTAGTTTGGTTGATTTTAGCTGACCTGTAGACGTTTCTCAGTGTATGTTACAATTGCATATTGCTTTCTGAGACAGAGTGAATGCAGCACTAGAAAGCAATTATGGAACTAATATATTTCCCTGAAATGTACTTTGTGATGCAGGATTTTACTCATGTTTCTAAAAATGACTTAAACTTCTGCCTGAATTATCCTAGTATCACAAATATGCCACTTATATCAATTTATCCCAAAGATACCATCTTAGTAAGGAGAAGTATTCCATGACTGGCAAGAATAACTTGCCTTCCATAATAACAGTTTTCCCCAGGTCCAAAATGTTTTTTTTTCAGTGAGGAGTGGAATGCCTGCCTGTTCTGTGCACTGGGGCACCTGCACTGTGAGACACAAAGAACAGAAAAACCCTGTATTTTGGGACTAAAACACCCAAGCAACAAAGCAGACAGTCATACAAAAGTACCCTCTTCAAACAAAGCCTCTGTCACCCAGCTTCCTGGGGAATTTTGTGCAGGAATCAATTTTTTCTTTTTCTCCCTGTACCACATGTTGCCATAGTCTCAACTTCAAGAATGATCAGAGACCTATAAAACATGATCTAAGGGGGAAGATTGAAAGAATTGGGGTTGTTTAGTCTGAAGAAAAGGAAGGTGCTGGAAAAAATGGTAATGATCTTTCAAATATATAAAATTTTTCTCTGCAGACAGAAGGAATCAGTTTTTCTTTATGTTCAGTGGGTCTAGGGCAAGAGGTGATGGACTTGGAAATTTAAAGTAGATCTTAGGAAATTATTTCAAACTGAAAATGTTGTTTGGCAGTGAAAATGATTATCTGGGAATCTCATTTGCTGAAGGCTTTGAAAGGCAGATTAGGTCACATGTCTCAGGAATGGTTTTAGTTGCAGTAGATTAGATGGAGATAACCCCAAAAGGTTCCTGGCTGGTTTTTGATGTTTTGTTTCTCTCAGGTGATTTACAGCAGATGCTTTACTGCTGTGTTATTTTGATTCTCACTCTTCCTTATATCCTCAGAAAATGCCAGGAGAAAAGATGTCAGTAGGTAAAAAATTGGGTAAGTAGGATGGGTGGGGACGTTGCCAATAGCAGAGCACTAAGAAATCACAATTCCTGCAGGAAAACTGGTGTGCTTGAGCAGAGTGTGACATTCAGCTTGTCCTCCTGACTGGCTTTGGGACACAAGTGTTGAGCTGGCTTTCAACAAGTGCTGAAAGTGACTGGTTAGTCAATACCCAGAAATCAATGTTTTAAATTTCAATTTTAAATTTGAATTGGAGCTTCCCCTTTTGCTGTATTTGAGCATTTCCTGAATTTGCAAGGAGTGAACTCTATCCACAGTTAACCAGAAGCCAGTTTGTCAGACTTCTTTTTCCTCCAGTTCTCTGCAACAGTAAGGTAGTATCCTAAGTCCTTGTAATTCTTTGAAACAGACTTGAGGAATTAATTGTTCTATTTAAATATGCATTCTGGTGCAAAATTTAAAACATCTCTTGTTCACCTTCTCCATACTCTTCCTGTTTTTTTTCATTTTCACCATTCTTCCTGTAGCCTAAAATCTCTATTTTCTTCCTGTAGGTAACTGTAGGTCTTCTGCAATATCAGAGTGATAAAATGACACTTGAACAGATTCATGGGAACCTAGGGAGTGGGACCTGTCAACTCTGGTTGACAACTCTGCCCAAGTCCAAGATCACCTATGTCTTTGTCATTCCTTGACAGAAAACAGTTTAAACTCTGTCTGGATACTGAGTGATGGCTACAGGTACTGTGTTCTAATCCCTTGGTGCTTCACAGAATTTCCTAAGATTGCTGTAGGCTAAACTCTTTATTATGTACTCTGTTTGTATTGTTAAAGCAATTTTAGATATCTGGAAACTCTTGCAGTGCTTTGTTTCAGTTTTTCCTTATGGATCGTGATTTGTTATTCTCTGAGATGCTTCACTGTCCTGCAGCCTCCTCCTTTGGTCCACTTTTCCAGTGAGCATGGCACCCCAAGCTGCACAGAGTGATCCAGTTAAAACCTCAGTGTTTAATAAAGGAATATTATTTAGTGTTTACAAATTGATCAAATTTAGTGTCCTTCCTTTTCCCAACGCATCATTGCCTGCAGTTTGTAGCTCCTGTCACTCCCTGTCCTTCTCCATGTAATTCCTGCCTACTCAGATTTTCTTATTTTGGCTTCTCCAGGTGATTATTCTGAAGGGTACAATTCAGCATTTCCTGCTGAAGCTCTGCTCTGTGACAGCTTAGCTGGATTGCAGCAGACAAGGTACTGGAGACTGAAGAAAAGGAATGTGAGAAGGAACCATTGAAGATTTTATACTGAAAGTATCAGGTGGTTGTGAATGACTGCCCTTGGGAAATTCACTTTATCCTCTGGCCAGAAATGTTGCTTCTTAACCTTTAGTTTTGCTTTTTGATTAGTCTGTGTTTGTACAGCCTCCTCTTGGAGAGACAGGCTGGAAATTTGTACCAGTATTTGCTTTTGCATGCTCAAACACTACTTTGCTTCCTGAAAAAAATTTCTAGAAAACAACTATATAATGCAGAAAACAGAAGTTATCATAAATTAAACATCTGACAGTATGAGAAGGAATACCAGAAGGTAATTGTACAATTCCTTACTCTGTTCTGATTTTGGGTATGTGGAGATTCCTATAAGATGTGAAAACCTTGCTTGTTTATTTACATGACAAAAGAGGAAAAAGGCATTTTTTAGCAGAACATACTGTTTAAACAAACACCACAGTGAGACAAGACAGCTAAAGGTACTTTAAGTCCATTCTTTTTTTTTTTTTTATAATGTTTAGAAATTTTTATGCCTAAGAATAAATTATTTTTATTTTCATTTATTGTGAAATGCGTGCCTACAGTTAGTTTTTGTGACAGCAAACTGTTCCCTCTTTCAGTTAGGTTTACAAAAATTGCACACTCTGTGGAGCTACTTTAACTTTTATTTGGAGGCTTTATCATCTTAGCAGTGGACTTGCAGGCTGCTTCAGAAATTCTGGAGGCTGCATATTGACTTAGAAAATGTCTCAAAAGCCACAGGCACACCATTGGGTGTTTTGGTCTGTGTGCTGTTCCACAAACTCTCCTTTAGACATGGGGACTGCACAGAATCTCTGCAAGACTCAGGGTGATTGCAGTGGTGCATTTTGCCTCTGGCTTACAAGCTGTACACCAGCACTGTGCAAGGGTTAAGGACAAGATAAAATCACTTGCTGCTGTTTTGATTTCCTGAGGAAATGTTGTTTTTGACGTGAGAAATGAAGAATGCAGTGAGGACCATTCCTGTGCCAAAATTTCAAAGTGTGTTCCTGTCAACTGTGGTGCCATTCATAGGTTTTACATCAGGATCTTAAAATGGGATATAAAGATCTCTGTTGTAGAAGCCCCATCTTGTGGACAACCAATCAATGACTACTTCAGCACAGCTGAAATTTGAAATACTTAGAAAATATGAAGATATTTTGGAAGTTTTTGCAACAAATTGGAGAATCTTCATGTTTCTAGAAAATATGGAAACTTCATTCATGTGTAGAAATCAGCATGTGCTTTCCAAAGACTATTTCCATAGAAAGAAATTGTGAATTGAAGAGAGGTATCAACACTGGGGTGGAACTAAGGATGGTGCCCTCAGAACCCTGTTTTAAGTCCAAATCAGCTAAAACACAAACCTGAACCCTGCCTTGAATTCCCCAACTAGTGTCCTGTAGTACTTGGACAGTACAAATGAGTCTTTAAGTGGCAAAATCATATAAGGGCAGAGGGACATCCTTTGAAAAAAAATTGTTAAGAGAGAAAGAATAACAAAGTATGCATGAAAACTGAATCTGGAAACTTTGGAAATATCCTTAAGGAGATTGTTTGTTTCAGCACAAAGTAGTGGATGAGGTCAGCAGCTCCAGACTCAGTGAGTCAACACACTTAGTAGGAAGTAAAGAGTGGGAAAACAAGCCTGTGATAAAAGCTAATTTCAGGTTTCAGTGTGACCTTGGTAGGATATATTAGATATATTCTATTAAATAGAATAATACATATAATTACAATGTCTTTTTGTTGCTCTGAAGAAATTGGGTTGCTCTAGAATAATTTTCTGTTTCTTCTATATGCAGAAAGTGGGAACCTTCGTGATAGTTTTCCGTGTAGTAATTAAGGCTGTAATGAAGGAGCCAGAAATTGTGGCGACATCTAGGGAAAGGTTGGCAGAACTGCCTCCCACTGAAACTGTGGCCACTTCAGGGGATGCATCCAGGGAAAGTTCTGTTGGAGTGGTTTATTTGGAAGGGATGCCGAGAGTAAAGAAGATTCTGGCATGGGAACAGGGTGTCACTGCAGCCCCTTTGATGGCAGCAGGACAGGGATTGCTGTTCCTACATGCGGGTGTCTGACTGAGCAAGGGGATTGACAGAGACAGAAGTTCAGAATTTGGTCATTGCAAAGCCAGGAAATAATTTCTTAGTCATTATCAATAGTAGTCTGGATGAATCTTCATTTTTAGGACATACCAGTTACAATACATTTTTCTATTTAAAATTATCCTTAGAAATGAGTGTACATCTGCCATTTCACAGTTAAGTTTAAAATAACTGTTTCTTTCATATGGAAATAATTAGATTTGAATCATTCTGTAGTCTGGGAATTTCATAAATGGCTCATTTGTAACATTTATAGATCTGAAAAAAATCACCTTCCTTAATAAGCTAACAGATACAACTATAAATGCACATTATCAGTGTATTACTAAAAAATTCACAGAAATATCTGACTCCTTTTTGCTTCTCATATTCCTTTGGAACAGGATTCTACATTTTTAAAGAAAGGCACGTTTGATGAATTGTCTGAGCCAGTGCAAAACCTTTGAGAAAGATGTATATTCCAAATTTTTACCTCAGTCTTCTCCTTAAGGAAGAGAATATTAAAACTTTAGCAATATACAGAACTACAGTTTTTACCTGAGAGCAAATTCTGCTGGAACCAGCATGTGCAATCAAAATAAAAATCTTTCTCAGTGTGAAGTGAAGCCATGAAAGGATCTCTGCAGCTCCTTTCTGTGGAAGTTGTTTCTTCCAGGGCAGACAGAGAACAGCAGATGCTGGTTGACCCCTCAAGGGAAGAGCAGATGAAGTGGGAGCAGCTACTTACAATTCCCTGCACTTAAATAATAAAGCAAGAACAGTTCAGAAAAGGAGCACAGACAGATATTAGTGTGGTGGGAAATCTAGAGGAGCTGCAGCCTAGGGAAAGAAAATGAAGATACAAAGCTTGTCATGAAAGGGTGTTGGAAAGCAAGGATTTATTCCAGCAGTGTTGAGGGAGGGAATAAGGGCTGCTCAATCCCTGCTCCACCAGGTGAGTGCATTGTAGTACAGAGGAAAGACAAGTCTTGGTGTAAAGGACAGACTATTGCCTTATTCTGAGCAGAAGGCTCTAGAAAAGGTAATTATTGGTAAAAGCAAAGTCTCTGAAGAAGTAGAAGAAAAAGGTATCATTCAGTGATACTTCTTGGATTGGATTGTGTTATAAATTACAGGTGTTTGTTTATGCCCATATGAGAAGGAAGAGAACTGATTACATCAAGAGCAATTTGTTGTACCTTCCCTGCTTAGGTACAATAAAATGTTCAGTTGCAGAGGGTTCCTTGCTAAAAGTTGCAGAGTAGTATTTATCTCTCATAGATTTTTTTCAAGAGAATGCAGCAGAACTGGAAACTCAAAGGTTTGAGTGTAAACCTGCAGTAATCCACTGTCAGGAGAATTGTGTAGGTGTATAAAATTGATTTCAAAGGGAATGAAGAGGTGTGACTTGTGAATTGCTACTTTTTAAAGATAAAAAATTAGTTCACATGTCGGTCATGTTAAAAAAAGAAAGTAATTTTTTGTCCTTATCTCTTTATTATGCACATTTTTATAGATGTTTTCTTTGGTTGCCTGTAGCCTTTCTGCTATTTTGAATATGCTCAAAATTTTGTTGAGATGAAAATGTTAAGAGATGTAATGGTACTGATATATCAAGTGGGGCCATTTGAAAACAAGGCTTGATGTGTTATGCCAATACAAAGCCAAATCCCTAGAGTTGAACCTTGAGCACTTGTGTTTGTGATGTGTAAAATTGTTCCTTTAAAGCTGTCACTGTCTTGTGTCCCTTCCTCTTCCAGCCCAGTCCTTTGTCCAGAGCTGTGATTGCTGTGACCCCACTGTCACCACCACAGGATTCTCTTCCCCAGGGATGGATCCTGGTCCCTGTGCTGTGTCAGCCAGGAGAGGAGAAGGACAGACCCCTGCTGTCACCAAGGACACCCCAAATCTCTCCTGAGCCTCATCCAAAAAGGTTCTGTAATTTACAGTTCCTTATGGCAGGACACTTCTTCTGGTATTGTCATGAGCATTTTAAAAATGTTATCAGGCAATAATTGCTATCACAACTTTTAATTCTGTGTTTCTGTTTCAAATTTTCCTCAGTTCAATCAGAACCAAAAGTTAATGCCCGTTGGCTAATTTCCAGTGCATGCCTCCACAGAACAACTGCTGCCTTTAACTGGTGGAGAGATCAAGGCTTGAACTGACAAAAGACATCTGTATTTTGGAAAACAAATTAATGTTTATGTTTTAATTTATAAGTTCCTGGCTCTTTTATGGTTCCTGTTTTTCAAGTAATGTCTCTTTGGATCCCTAGCTGATGGAGAGTCAAAATGGAAAAGGCCCATGAGAGAATTATCACAATAGAACATCTGGTCTGCATTGGAAAAAGCTGAGAAAGATATTCAACATCTCTGAGACTGAGGTTGCCATGAGGCAGTTTGAAAGTCAGTCCATGAAAAATTGTGCAGGTTGTGGCCACCTGGGCCAATCTGGTGTTGTTTTGGGAAGAGCTATTCTGCTCACAAGAATCTGAATTTTAATCTCCCTCAAGCATGGTAATGTGAGAGCTGGGAGTGGTATGAAAGGTGTTTGCTTTCCATAATGTTAATCTGGGTCCCAGCATTGTCCTAATTATATTGTGGGTTTTTGCCAGTCTCCCAGATTTCTTTTGAGCATGTAGGCTGGACTCAAAAGGCTTTCCCAGGGCTTTTGGCATAGCTTTACAGGAAAGTGGATGGAAAGGACTTTGTATATTTTTGCAAGAATATTTTGCATCCTGCTTTAAACTATTCCAGAAGGTAAAAGGACATTAGCTAGACTGTGTGTTGGCTCATGCACTGCTATGTCACTAATGAGAAGGAATTTTATTCCTGTTTTCTGCAGCCACAGATTGTAAGAAATGCAAAGAAATCATGGACCAGCCAGGGCAGTAAAGGTACCCCTGGATTCAGAGGGAACAAACTCCTTCCACCACATGGAACTTTGGTCCTTTAAGTCATTATAGCTCATGCAGAACAGAAACAATTTGACATGTATAACAAGAAACATTGCAAATTGTTTGCCAAACAAAGACTTATACTGCAGATGGAAGAACTGATGAAAATTGTTTATAGATGGGGAACTAAATGTAGATTTTTCAAGAACAAGGTTGCTGTCTTCCTTGCCAAGACAAACAAATCTGATAGACCATCTCATTGCTTTAGGCTGCCTGAGGACCCACTGGAAAGTCTATGGACCTTTTTCCACAGAAAATTTGTGTGTTGTCAATACATAAGTGTATTGTCCACAGTTACACTGTGGCAGCTGCAGAGGAAGTGGAAGGTTCTCAGGAATACATTAGGGAGAACTGGATTTTTGGCTTCTGAAACAGTGTGGAGTGCTTTTGGAAACTGTGGAAGTTTATAAGCTGGATGTTACTGCTACAAAAGGTTATCTGTGAGTTAAATAGAATACTAATTAATCTGCTATCTTAAGATCTTAACACTAACAACAGAATGAAATTGAGAATTCCTGTCTTCTAGAATTGCAGTTTCCAAGATTCCTTCATTCCTGTGAACATACCCTGGTCTGCATTTGGAGTTTTTCAGAGTTACCTTTAGAAATCTGTGCACAGATGTTTTTACAAAGCACTGTGTAATCATCCCAAACAATGGTTTTAATGGGCCAGTTATTTAGGAAATCATGTAATGAGAACATAAATACAATCCCTGATACTGACATAAAACATGTATTAGCAAAATAATATAGTTTGTATTTCCTTGATAAAGAGCAGACCCTGGAAATACATAACTCATCATGTTCTTAAAATTTTGTTACATCTGTAAACATCTATATTGGCAGAGAGGCCCAGCAGCACCCTGGGCTGCATGAGGAAGAGCATTGCTAGGAAGTCGAAGGAGGTGATCATTCCCCTGTGCCCAGCCCTGGTGAGGCCTCAGTGGGAGTGCTGTGCCCAGTTCTGGGCTCCCCACAGCAGGAAGGACTTGAACATGATGAAGGAGGGCAGAAAGGGCCATGAGGGTGGGCAAGAGGAGCATCCTGTGCTCCCAGGGAGGTTTGAAGTTGACATCATTGAAGAAATTCCAAACTCAGCTGAGCAAGGTCCCGAGCACCCTGCCCTGGGTGAGCCAGCTTGGGGCTGGGCTTGGGCTGAGTGATCCCTGGAGATGCTTCCAGAATATTTGGGAATGTTTGAGGCAGTTTGCTTGTGCCTTGTCAGTGTTTTAGCTGCAACTCAACTGTGGAGGAATCCTAAGGAGAGCAAAGGTTGTGACCCTAGAAATTCATCCAGATGGCTGAGGCCCAGAAAAGGCATAATGGGAGCTGCTAAGTACTCTGAATGTCTCATCAGAGTGATATTTCACTTGAAAATACAAAATAGAAATTACTTGGGTCTTAATGACACTGAATACCCATAATGTTCTCTCACTTCAGCTGGACTGCAGATGCTAACAACCTCTCCCTATCTGAACATGTTTATTTTCATTTAATCTTGCTCTGTACAATCTTAACATATATTTTACTCCAGAAATTAATACTTGGTGTTTACAGTGCAGAATTTATTTGCTTGTTTGTTCCACACTTTCTTTCCTTTCTAGTACTGATATTAACAAATTACAATTTATTTTGATATATTACTTCAGTAATATATCAAACTGAATATATTCATGGTATGTACATACCATGTACATACCATGTCTCAAGGAGTTGAAAATATCCTAATTTGAGCAAGGTAAAATCAAAATATATAATTACATTGCATATTCTATGGCACTTATTTTGTAACTGTTCTTACAGTATCTTCAGAATAAGAAAGAAGATGAAATTCAAAAAGGACTTTCATAGTTTAAAAATATTTATGTTGAAACAAGATTTATGTTGAAAGGCAAAGATAATTTTTTTAATCATCTGAATAGTGGTAGGAAGATTCACCTGTGGTTTTTCTTTATGAAAATGCCAAGGAGCTAACTTGCAGTATTGAGAATTCCTTCTTTTGAAAATTCTTTGTCTTTTATATTGCCTGTTAAGGAAAAAGGAAAGCACACTGGAAAACAAGAAATTGAGCAACATTGCACAAGTAATTAGGAAATAAATAGATCATAAAGCATTTTACTTCATTTTGGTTTTGCCCTTCAACAAGTGAAACGATAAGTAAATAACCTGTTTCTTTATTACCAGTATATGGAGTTACATTGGGTCTGAGAGACCAAGGCATAAATGTGTAAATAACACCTGTGGTTTTTATTACAGGACATCAGATTTTGCTAGGGATGAGCCCATTGTGGAGCCACAAAATTAAGACTTCAGAAGAGAATAACACATGAAGGTCAAATGTTCTTTGTCATTGGTTGCTGTCTCTGCCCCACTCTGCCCTGATTTAATGCTTTTACAGCACATCTCTGATTCAGTCTCCTCTGTCCTGTGTGGGATGGGGGTAGAATATTACTTTAAATTGACACCTCTAGCAGCAGTTCCTACTTGTACTGGTTTCCTTTTATAAATGTGTAACCTATTATATCTATCCAAGCTGGCTGAGCTCCAAGTCACCCATTTCTCAGTAATACAGGAAATTAAATCTAATGTCTAATAAGCGTAGAGGCTTATGCAACCTTCATTCCCTGTAAAAAGTATTAAATAACATAATAATATTACCTTGTCTTTTGATTGCTAGGGAGCTGTGCACTTAGTTTTTGTGCAGACCAAGCTGGCTCTGCATTTGGGCTTGAAGAGTCTGAGTTTATCCATCCTTTTTTGCAGACTTACTGAATTTCACCTGGAAAATTCTCCTGTTATTAAAGGACCCCCTGAAATGTTCATGTGTAGGTTTGGGTCCCTTTCTCCACTTGTCCCTTTGTTCCCACAGAGGGTTGTGTCCCCCATGATCTCATCCTGGGGGTGCTGCTGCTTCCTCATTCATTCTCTATCCCCCAGGATTTTCCAGCCTGAACAGATTCCTGCCTGTTCCATCCCATTTTCTGATAATACCCACGACAGCTCTGTGTTGGTTGCTGCAGCCTTTAAAAATGCAGAAATCTGACTTTAGGCCATACAGGTTAGCAACATAATTTCAGGGCTTTGTCTCCTGCATGTACCAGTTCAATAAGTGGATTTATACTGAATAATTTTAAACTGTTACAGCCCTCTGAAACCATTTCTCTCTTGCTGCTGTAATACATAAAGTGGCATAAGGTCACTGATGATGTGGAAATTGGTTTTGGAGTTGATATGCTAATTCAGCAAGAAATCAGTTCTAGCAGAAATGCAAAGAAAATTATTTTAATCTAGTGCCATGCTATTTTGTTGGCTTTTAGGAAAGAGATAAGTAAAATATTCAAGGGAGTTCCAAGTCTGTGGAAAAAGTAGCATTTTGGAGATTTAAGGTTATTTTTGCCTCACAGTTTCTTAGCTTCTTTTCTGAAAGCAAATAAGCTGAATGTGATGGACACAAATGCGATATTTTCACATGCTCAAAAACAAAAAAAAGAAAGATCTTTCTAAAAACTGAATTCTGTATAAGAATAAACTTGGTTCAGTCTTTTCTGTGTCATTCACCCCATGTTTACAGTAACTGCTTCTGCAATTTTGTGGATGAAAACTTCCATGCAGATACATCCAGAGCCATTAATGAGGATGCATTATGCAACTAATTGCAACAGGGAACAAAATTACAGTAATGGTGCCTGAGGAGAAAGAGAATCTCTGCACTCAGTGTGAGTAAGGGGTAGCCAAAACAAATATTTAAGTTGAATTGAAAACAATAGTTGATCTCTGAAAATAATCAACATGAGTTTGCAAGCTCTATATTTTTTTCAAAACACTGCACTTATACTGAGGAATTTCCAAGCACAAAAAATAAAATAACTTTAATGCTTACTGTATGATTATGCCAAAGGAAAAAAAAATTACCAGCATAAACTCTTTCATCTTTTTGAGATGAAGAAGAGAGAAAATAAAAATTCATTTCTAAAAAAAATTTTTAAAATATCTGAATTGTAAAAGTAGTGCTGTCATTGTCATATTTTAGAAGATATTTTAATTTTATAATAAAGAGAAAAAAAAGATGACATTTTACTCTCTGTTCTTTCATAAAACAGGTACAATGCTGCTGTTTGCAGAGGAAGGACACCAGCTGCAACAAAAGTAGTGTCTGTTCTAGAGTGAGGCATGAGCTCCACTGGACATGAGTTGGCTTCCCTGGCTGCTGTGCTCAGTATTTCATTTTAGCAAGTCTGAGATTGCTCCAAGTCTTCATCTCCTCCTCCTTTATGCCACTGCAAGCACCAGGTTGTATGTTATTGAAGAGAGAGAAATAGAAAGTGCAATGCAGTGTTTTATTTCATGCTGCCCAAGTTTACTCAGACAGACACACCCAGAGAGAACGTGTGCTGCACTCAGCTTGGAGATCTGTGTTAGAAATCCTGGCTCCCCTGTGCTTTCCTGCTTTGCCATAGCTGATAAGAGAGTTTATAACAGGAACCCCCTGTTACCTCAGCTGCAAATGGTTCTGAGAATCTAATGGCCAAGAGAGCAGAATTTAAATTTATTTTTGTTTGGCTTGTGTTCCAGCAAGCATTTAAAAGATCCCCCAGTTTATCTTTGTCAGAGATTGTTTTTCTTTTGGCTTAGCTTGGACACCAATCTCACTGTTGAGTTTACATTTATGGAGTGGGACCCAAGGTTTTCTCCAAGCATTCAGTATTATGATTTTGACTTTGCAAGTCTTGTTGCTTGGGATAGGTGTAAAAGTCATGTCTGCATGTACAGCAAGAACAGAACTGGGCTGTGGATGCTGCTACTTAGTCAATTGGGCAGGAACAAAATTCTGGAGGCTGCCTCTCCTCTTGGCTGGCAGGCAGAAGAGTTGGTAAAAGCTGCAAAGACAACTGAGCACCTTAATGATGACATTTATTTTTTATTTTATTTCGTTGGTGGATTTTGAGGAATAGTTTTTAAAATGCAATTATTTTACTGTCCTTTAGCAAAGCATGTGTGACCACAGCTGTTTTTCCAAAATGCCTGGTTTGCTTGCTTTTGTTGCCACCAGTGGAGTTCTCACTCCACATAGCAATGTCCACAAGGTGGTGCCACAGCTAAGAACTTTGCAACAAATAAGGCAAGTAACATGATAATTCTGTCTGCTTTTTGTAACTGACTGAAGTATCTGCATCGTGAAAGAATTAATAATCATTTCATAAGCCAAATATCACAGGTTTGCAGCTCTTTTTTTGTGAGAACTAAGGTGGGTCTGTCTGATGAGCAAGAGCAGCATCCACACACCTGAGACTGTCCCAAATCCTGCACAGAAATGAGGAGGCAACTCAGGGTTTAGCAGTCAGGCTGATGAAGAGCTGAGTGTATTTCCTAGCAGGGTTACCTGTGCCAACACTGGCATGTGTCTCACGTTTTTATCTGGTCACTTCAGCAGGAATCAGCCTGAATCCTGACAAGCAGAATAGTTCGTCCACAGCTTCACCCAAGACAGCTTCTACTTACCCTGGACAGGCTATGGCACATCAGACCCGAATTTCCTGAGTTTTTCTAGAGTCAGGGATATCCAGGCTCCCTGTCCTATGTTAATCTACAGCTGATTATTAATTCCAAAGGGTATGAAATGCTCACAGAGGGACCTGCACAGATGCTCAAGTTTCTGAGCATCTTTGTAAAAAAGATCAGACTAGAGAAGGTAGAAGGCAGTAACAGAGAATGTAAAATGTCATGTGTCCAGTACAGAAAAGACAATAAAACTTCCAGGGAAAAGTTGTTTGTAGGGATCTGGATGACTGCACTGATTTTGATGTCCCAGAAGTGCAGCAGGATTTGGCCATGCCCTCAGAAGGTGTGGGTCAGTTCTTCAGCTACCCTTGGCCACATGGTGCTTCTTGCACCTCTGCCCTGCTCCCCTCAGTGGCCTCTGTAATTCAGGTGTTTGTGCTAGCAACAGAAATACTCCCTCTCAGCTTCTGCAGTGGATAAATGAAGTTTGAATCATTTATTCTTTACATATTTTTGTACCCAAAGCAGCAAGAAAAAGGGATACCTTAAAATACCATTCAGACAAGCATTGACCTGCCTCCACCTAGAATCTCTCTTTGCTAAGCCTGTATCAGAAAGAAAAAAATAATAGGGTTTGCATAAAATTTCCTCTAAATTGCTACATTATTATTTTAAAACATATTAAAATTTTTCTGGCTAGTAAGGGACTCAGTGGAAATTATGTATACCCAGGAAAGATGGTTTGTCCCCCAGTTACAAAGTAGAATGAGGTGTAGAAGCTTATTGGGTACAGTTATAAAAGTTGTCAAATAACACAATGGCCACCTATTTTGTTTTTAAGGATCATATCTATAAATTATATGTAAAAGTGGTTTACAGTATTTTGAAACTTTGTATTGGTTTCATCATCTGTTAGAAAAAGTCAGAATCTAACCTGAGAACTAACTAAAAATATGAACAGGTCAAGTAGATTTAATTTCTGAGTCAGTCTGTTGAGTTAGCTTGAACTAACTGAATCATGACACTGACATTGTCAGAGTATTCCTGAAAGATTGTTCTGAGTGTATGGCTGCAATGTGCCTTGCAATTAAATTGACATATTTCTGGTTTGGTTTGGACTTTGCTTTTTCTTTGACTTTGCAAAATTCTTTCCAAAATGCTTACTTTTCAGATATTTTGCACAGAGAAAAAATGATGCTCTATTCTGAAGGGAGTGAATGACAGGTCTAAGATCATACATCTAAATCTCCATGGTGTGGAAACCCCAGGTATGCATTATTTTAGCAATTTACAACTGAGTTGAAATCCTGAACACTCTCCCTTGCAGTATTTGCAACAATTTTCTGCTTTTATTGAAAATCCCATAAGTATTTTCAAAAGATCAAAACTGTTTTTCCCCTAAGCCTGATTTTCTGGTTTCCCATTGGAATGCAATCATGACCAAAACCTGCTTCAGGTTTATGTCTGAACCTTCCTGGGAGGAAGTGCCTTGCAGTGTTGTGAGTTTCCTGGCTCAGAAATCCTGCTGCCCATGCAAGGCTCAGCAGAAGCAGTCGAGGATGGCGGTGGTATCCTGCAGGACACCCATTGAAGCAATCATGACCAAAACCTGCTTCAGGTTTATGTCTGAACCTTCCTGTGAGGAGGTGCCTTGCATTGTTGTGAGTTAGGAGCCAGCTGAGGCTGGCTCAGAAATCCTGCTGCAGATGCAGGGCTCGGCGGAAGCAATCGAGGATGGCAGTGGTATCCTGCAGGATGTGTGTGACTGCTCAGTGGGGGCTTGATTTACACAGGGCCACATTATAGATTATACATTCTAGTCATTGTGGTATTGTTATTGCTGGGCTGGAGCTCAGCACAGGAAGTACATATAAGCACATTTGAAGTGATAACATCCAGTTCTGTTCAAAAGGCAATATTTTATTCTTGTATATAATGCAGCGTTTGCAAGGGAAAATAGATAATTTGCTAATTTAGCATGACTTGTAGGGAAAAAGCTGACTCATTATGGGAGGGCCACAACCAGCATTTACAAATAAATCCAATTAAACTTTTAATCTCTTTATTTTATTTTATTTTTTTCAGTATGGACTGTAGTCCAAGATCAGGAAGGAGACAATGTATTGCCATCTGAAACCCAATGAAGATCAAAATAAGTTTTCAGTGTGCCACCGAAACCACATTGCTAGGTTTCTATTAAGGAGAATGAGTAATACCATTCTAGCTGTAAAGGTTGCTACGAGTGGGTAATAATTCCATCTAACTGATAGGGCAGATTATATATTCTGCAAGAAAATAAATAATCCTAGGCAAAATCTTGCTCTATTTCCTCAGCTCAATAAGAAAGCCCACCCACCATACCCACTCAGCTGAAGCTGCTCTATGCATACTTGTCTAACTTTAGGATTCAGGAACCGGTCTGTTCTCCATGCTGCGTGCCCAAACCAGCCTTGTTCAGGAACACATTGCCTCCAACCTTGGTGTGGAATGAGGAATCTGTTCCTGCTGCTGCTCCCAGGATGAGGGATGTGGGTTGACCCCCGGCTCTGCAGCTGCAGACAGTGTGTGTCGAGGCCCCTCTCAGAGCCTCTCTCCCCATTTCTCTTGGAAAGTGTAGGCTTCAGACGTTCTGTGCACCCAGGGAAAATACTGACCCAGCCAGGGCTCACCCAAGTTCCCTCCTGGAGGGGGATATGGATTTGTTCAGAAGAGGAATGCTATAACCATTTCAAATTTTGTGTGCCAACCTATTCTCCACAGACAGCACAAACTGACAGAACACAGGTAACTTATTGTTCATGCTGTTCCTATTTCTTACTTTGTTTTGTCAGGGAAAATAAATTAAAATTGGTATTAAGTTTCCTTCTTGTTCTTCCAATAATAGAAAATTACCAGGGGAGAGAAAATAAGACAGAGATTTTCTCTAGAAAGGCCTTCCAGCTCAATGGATTTTTTTTTAAATATTATGAAACATTCTTGCCTGCCTTAATAGATGAGAAAAGTAACAGTAGAACTGTGAAACAAATTAATACATCAAAAATATTGACCCATGGACCATAGCTAAATCTATACTCATATTTGTGATAGTGTTGCAGATCAATAATACAATGCTGCACTGATGCTATATTGGATACATTGATTTGTTGCAGTTATGGGTGAGGTTCTAAACAGGCACTGCAACATATAATAAAGGCCTGACCTACCAACAGATCTAATAATAAAACAGATCTAGTAAAAACATCTAATAAGATGTGACAAGAACCTCCATCAACTAATCCAAAATCTAATGATTTGTTTCACAGTTTTATGAAAAAACTTTTTATTGTATTCTGTCTTTATTACTTAACATTAAGAATATATTTTCCTTTACAAATTTTAAATGCTACTGGTCTGAAATTTTTGTGCAGACAGTCAAGCTAACTTTGAACAGAAGTAGTTTTTCCAGATGTCACACCTACAAAATTTTGAAATTATAATCCTACTGATGCCTCCTGATAATAATATGCCTTTGCATTGGGGTAGCCTTGTTACAGTCTTTTTTGGAAGTGTCACCTGCTTAAGATTTGATTCACAAAGTAATGTTAAGATATGTTTAATTTTAATTAAGTTCTTCACTGTTTTCCTGAATAGGAATCTCTGTCTCTAGTTTGAACTTGTTTAACTGTTTAACAAAGGAGCAGCTTTAACCACACTGAGAGTACTTATGCAAGTTTTCACAGCTGATTGCTGGGATGAGACCTGTAAAAACAAAGATAAGGTGAAGATCCTTTCTTCGAACACACTAGGATATGAGTCTCTATTTTTATTTGTAGTTCATAAGTCTATTAAATAGGCAATAATAACTTAAATATATTTATATTTTTGTGTGTCATTGGAGTCAAACAGCACATCTCCATGGCTGCAGCACATGTGACTCTTCCTGTAGCACATTCAGGTTTTGGCTTTCATTAGGCAGTAAGACATGTTGCCTGCAAAAATATCACACAACTTGAAAAGGAGACTCTAATTTCATATGGGAAATTTATTTAATCCCTCTTTACATGACATCAAAATCACTGTGCCTTTAATCGTGACTATGGAAATGAAAATACCAGGCCACAGGATTTGCAATTAGCTTGATGCATCCAGAGGAAACTCTGTAAGTTGCTTTAATCTCTTTATTTTGCCTTTTCTGAAATCTGTCTGATTTTTGTGGAGTTTATAAGAGCAATTGTTGGTGGAAATGTCTGTGTTTCTATTGAAGTGCTCTAACAAGCTTTCTGGTCTCACTTGAGTACTGTAACAGAACACCCAAATCAACTGAGATGTCTTTAGCTCTAAAATATTTGGTTTAAATATTCTAATAAATACTTGAAAAGGTAAGAGTTCCTTAAGCATCAGAAGACAGAGAGTTTGGAGATCAGACTGAGCCATGCCTCCTGCATTTACTTCTCCAATAAATCTGTCAGGACACTGACGAGCTGGGCTGCCAGATGTACTCCTCCACATTTTGGGTAAGTAATCACTTGGGCCTGGGATCTACTGGACAGGCTATGCCTGAAGCCATTTGCAGTTATTTTAGGTGACATGCTAAAGTGGTCAGCATAAGCTCAAAAGACTTTATCCAGCACTTTGACAGCATGCCAGAGGAAATTCCTTGGGATTCAGAGTCTAAGATTTCATTTCAATTAATTGTCAGAATGATGAATATTATTTATTCCACTCTAAGGCTCATTTTAATCTAAAACATGGTCAGATAGTGTCAATGCAGGCAAAATGGTATTTCTTCCTGCATAAAAGCCCATCTAGATGTAATCCAGTTTGCTCTCCTGTCTCCAGATTTGGTCTGCAAGGATCCCAGGAATGGAGACTGCAGCTGGCCTAGGATTCCCTGGCACTTGAACCTCATATAATTAGGCAAGTCTATTTTCCCACCAAATAAAATTATTAAAATCAACAACATTATGAATTGAAACTCCTCAAAATTGTTAAATTCTGTCCAGTTGGGAAGAGGAGTTTTATCAGGCATTGGAGCCCAGTGGGCAGAGTGCTGGGCAGAGATTGAGAAATCTGAATTCTCTTCCAAACTCTCCTGACTTTTAAATGACCTTGAGCTGTCACTTTTCTGTGCTGCAGTTTCACAGTCTGTATGAGCAGGATAATAATCCTCCACAAAGGTTTGAGAGTTGCTGAAGGAAGGATCTGTATGAACACAACATTTCTTGCACCAGCCTGAGCTAGGTGCAGCTGTGGTTAGAGGTGGCCAGGATTTGGTGAATTCCTCATCTATTCCAGAAAATCTGGGAAATATTCATTGTTAGATTCCTTACTTTCAGTTGTCTATCAAAACACATTTTTATGTTAAAGGTCTTTCTTATCTTCAGACCATTACAAAATATCTCAAGAAAATTTCATTTTACTTAGTTATGCATTAATACTCACAGTTCATACTCCTGTTACTGGGAGCTGCAAAGTGCCTCTCAGAATCATACAAATAATTACTTAACATGGATAATGTATCTTTGACCTAAAAAAGAAAAGACTTTTGCAATATTACGATTGGTGTATGTGGGAGAAAAAAATATCTGTTGGTTTATGTTGTAAGATATTTCAATTTGCCTTTTGGTTTGAAAAATTTCCCCTGAAAGGACAATTTTTTTTTTTCAAATTATATCTTGATTTTACACATTTTGTGTTAATAGACAACGAGCTCTGTGCACAAAAAAGAACAGTCTGCTTTCAAAACTGCTGAATGGTTTGACCTCAAGGGAATAGAAACTGTTGACTCATTGTTTTTACTGCATATAATATTAGTCCTTTGTCACATCCAGGGAATGACATCATCTTCCTCATTGTTAGCAGCAGGTTTGAATAACAGAAAAAGTGCAGCATTAGTTGTCTGCTGTGTTTTTTTCTTAATAAATGAATGGATATCTGGTACCAAGAATGAGATTAGGGGTTTTGAGTAACATTTAGAAGGAGTTTGTGCCCAAACCCTGCAAAGATCTTTGCTCCTGGCCACCATCTGCAGGAGCACGGAGCCTCCAGAGGGAACATCACTGATGGGTCTGGCTGCTCCAAAGTGATAAGAGGAGGCAGGAAAGAAGAGACTGAGCACAGAATGAAACAGATCTGTTCT